TAGCCCAGACTGCACCATCAGCTCTTCACACATAACAGACCCTTCTGGTACTACGGGAATTTGCGCAGTTAACTCACCCCACTAGTATCCTGGCCCACAACACCAGCACTTAGTACAGAATGAGGCAAAAAGCAAGTGACTAATAATTTATCTATTGATTGGTTGGAATGTGACCCGGCCTGATGGCTTCACTAAAGCATTTGCTTTTGTTTATGGGCACAGAGCTCATACACTAGACCCTGGGGACTAGATCCCTGGGGGTGCTTCGCTTGGCAAAGAGAAGGCTTAGGGCTGACATAGTAGCTGTCTTCAAGTATTTGTGGAAAAGGGATTCCATTTGTTCTGCTTGGCCCCAGGAAACAGCTAGGAGCAGTAGGAGGAAATTGCAGATGCAGATTAAGATCTGACACGAGCTAAATCTTCCCTAACTGTTAGAACAAGGCAAAAAGCAAGTCAACTAGTAGTCATTCAATGCGTTACTTGCCAAGCACTATGCTAAGTGCCAGGGATACAAATATAGTCAATTCTGCCTTTTTTTTTTTCAAAAAAGCATGGGACTATATAAAATCGCAAAATAAAAACCATAGGGTTTTGATATGGAAAAAATGGGAAAGGGGATACAACATGGTCACTACCCCTCCCCCCCAAAAAAGAAAACCTTATAAGAAATAGATATTTCTTTATTATAAAAGAACCTTATAAGAAATAGATAAGAAATACATAAATACTACAACAAATAGTGGCAGCTTCTGAAGTCTTGGGCTAATGTTCAGCCTGCACCCCAGTTCCCAGCAGCTGGGCCAGCAAAGTGTCATAAAAGTCAAGCTGGCCACAACTCCCAGCAGAGTTAGGAGGCCATGTTGGAAGCAGGGTGGGATGTAGACTAGCCCTTCTCCTTTCTATTCAGTTTCTTCTGTAACAGAAGATGCAGAATAAAGGACACATTATCCTGAAAAAGACCTGAAGTTTGCTTGTGGAAGGGGGTGTTGGAAGGGTGCCAGCTTGTGAGTTATTATGAAGTGGTGCAATTTTCTGCATTCTCAAAGTTTCTTGAGAAAGAAATCATGCATAAGTAAACTTGAAATTTGCTGTATGCTCAAAATTTTCCATAATGACTCAGTTGTGTCAGAATAAATTTCCATTTTTGGAAACAAGAATTATGGCTGAACTGAATGTACAAGCAAAAAAGAAAGACAGTTCCTGCCCTCAGGAAGCTTATCACCTAATGGGAAAGACATCTCACGAAAAAGGAAATGAAAGCTGGGATGGGCATGTTGTTGAAAGCCAGAAAGCCAGAAGAATGCCTAAGAGGGGAATGAAGTTTGACTAGCTTGGGCCCCTCCTCAAAATAGAGTTCCCAGGAGGAAGTTGCCAATGAGGAAAGAAGGCTTTGAGGAATGTTCTAGGGTGAGATTAGAGCTCAGGCAAGGTGTCAAAGTCTAAAAGGTCAGAAACAAAGTCTGCAAAATTTGTCTGAAAGAGGAAGGAGCGATTTCTGGAGCCTTCACTGAAAGTCTTTGAGCAGAGGCTTTATGAATTCCAGTTGAGATTTGTTAAAGGGATCCCTATTCTGTTATGAGTTGGACTAGGTCGTTTTTGAGGTTCTTTTCATCCCTAGGATTCTGGGACCACATGGGGCAAGAGCATAAAGGAACCTAAAGAGGCTAGCAAAAAAATTTTTGCAATGGAGACAACATTGAGGCCACAAACAGGCTCAAAGGGTTTGGTCCAGCGCCATGTGGTGTTGATGGAGGAGGGAGCCCAGTTTCCACAGCACTACACAGTCATAGTAGCTCTGATGAAAACCATGGCAGCATCCAGGGCAAGACTGCTAAGTCACAAGGATTGACCACACCCAGGCATCAGTTTAATGATTTTATTTCATTATTTCATCTATGTGATCACCTCTCATTTACTTAGGGCCAAATGAATGGTACCTGTGATAAATGCTCTAGGAATTCTGAGTAGAGGGAGGTTAGGATGGTCAGGGAAAGCTTTATGGGAGAGTTTGGACTGGCCTGTGCATGGCAGGACAAGCAGGATCCAATCAATGGGCACCATGTCTTTCGTGACCTGGAGTCGAGGGGGGTGTCCTACTGAAGCAGCTGGGTTAGTCTTATTATTGTGGCTGATGATGCAGAATTGAAGCCAAGGTCTCAATTCTAGGCTCCCAAAGGATGGTTCTTTTTATACCCTCCCTTCTTTGGGCAGAAACAGATCCACTTAGGGACGGGATTGTGTTGTGTTGTTGAGTCGTATTGCCTAGAATGCTTGCCTTCCTCATCTCACCTCCTGTTCTCCTGGCTTCCTTCAAGTCTCAGCTAAACTCCTACTGTCTGCAAGAATCCTTTCCCAGTCTGCTTTACTGCCCCCACTGAGATGACTTCCAGCTTAGTCTGCATGTATCTCGTTTACATGTTGTCTCCCCCATTAGATTGGGAGCTGCTTGAGAGCAGGGGCTCCTTTTGCCTTTCTTTGTATTCTCAGGTCTTAGCGCACAGTAGGCATTTCATAAATGCTAGTTGCTGTTGAATCATCACCAAAAACCTGCCAGGTATCAGGAAGCTTCCTGATTGGCTGAGGGTGAGCCTGCGATCCCAAGACAGGATCAATCCTGGATGCCCAACTGTAAGAATCCCAAATCCTGGAGATGTTCAGAAGGTACCTTTCTCAGCCTCCCCAAGTGCCTACCACAGTGCTGACTATGTGTTTGTTGAGTTGAATTTATCATTGCATTGATTAATTGTGTTACGCCCTAAACAACTCCTGACTGCCTCTCTACTAGGTGAGACTACTTCTGGGGAGGACCCACACAGGAAGCTCCCAAGAATGACAAATTCACAGAACTTTCCCATTTGGACATATTCCTGGATCAATTAATGATAATTATGATGATGATGATAATAATAATAATATTTATTTAGCAGTTTACTTCTCTCATTTCATCCTTACCACAACCCTGTGAGGTAGATTATAATAATAATATATATATACTATGACATGTAATATAACATTATATAACAATAACATATAATAATCCCCATATTACACATGAGGAAACTGAGACAGGCAGACCCCGGGATCAGTTATGCAGATGAAGAGGTGAGTCCCAGCAATCCCATCCCAATCGAAGGCAAAGGTAACAGGACTAACAAAGCCCTTGGTAGAGGAATTCTCTGGACAGGCAGTATCCAGAGTGTCTGTGTCTGCCACTACTAAATATTTAGCTCTTATGGATGCAGGGCACCAGGGAGATGCAAACCCAGAGTCCCTGCTCTCAAGGGGCTCACAGTTCAGAAATACACAAATCATTACAGTTAGGAAGACATCCCTCTGGACACCTACCAGCCCCAATACAACCCAGAACCCACCACCACAAGGTCTGGATGAGATGGCAGTGAATAACTCTATTCCTTCTGGTCACATGGACAATCATCAGGCCTGACCAGCTGCCCTTTCTCTACATCCTGACACTATCAACTTATCTCTAGAGGACCCCTGGACTTTGCCATCTGCCTTCAATTGGTACCTCTAGGACTTCCAAGCCTTTCCATCTGTCCAACAGCTGAGCCTTCTTTGAGGTGTCTCCCTCAATGAGCAGTGTGAGTTCCTTGAGAACAGGGGCTATCTTGATTTTTCTATTTGTAACCCCAGCACTTAGCCCAGTGTTTGACACACAGTAAGTACTTAATAAGTGCACATTCATTCACTCCTAAGTACTACAAGAAGGGTATAAACAAAGACCAAAGGAAGCAGAGGAGAAAGATCCTATCAGACTGGAGGAGATAGTCAGGGCAGGTTTCCTTGGATTACCTAATGGAATTTAAGCCAGGCCTTGGAGGATGGGATTTCGCGGGCTCAAAGAGAGTAGAGGGTGGAAGTCATTGTGATTAAAACTACAAAACATCAATCAATCACTAAGCATTTATTAAAAGCCTAACATGTGCCTGGCACTGTGCTCCCTTCAGGAAGGGGTGGAGGGGGAGCATAAAGGCAATGGAATAGTCTCTGATTTCAAGGAGCTGACATTCTTTGGGGAAAACATGTATGCAGCATGTACATATATGACTATTTATAAAGTAAAAACAAGGTGATCTTGCTAAGAAATAGGAAAACTGTCCTGTAGGAGGTATTTTGAGGGAAATAGTTTGGAAGACTGGGATAGGCAGGGGTCATGAAAGACCCTGGATTCCAGGCTAAGGAATTTGAAGTACACTTTACTGGTTATTCATCTCCTTTGGGGGATTGTTCTGCTGGATGGTGGATTCGTGGAAAGGGTGAGATTCAAAAAGGAGGATTCAAGGGAGGAGGAGGGAGTTCAGAGAATTGAGTGAAAAGAGAGTGGTAGTGTAAAGAGGGTGATAATGGATGGAAAGAAGAAAAGTGAGACCCAGGGAGAGTCAGGGGAAGGCTGAAGAGTGCCTCATGGGTGAGTGTGTTGGGGAGTAGGATCTGTTGAGGTGGGAAAGGAGTAGGTGGAGGATAGAAGAAGATAGGATGCTGAGGGAGGTTTGTTACGGACATATTTTAGTTCTTCTCTTGGTGGTACTAAATTCAGTGATCAGCCCCTGCTGTGTTCAGCTCTGACCCTTTTCAGTAAGCAGCAGGAGAAATTCTGAGCTGGGAGGGAGACTTGGGTTCTGGGCCTGTCTCCACTACTGTGTCATTGCTGACTCAGCCACCTGGACCCTGGACCCCATTCCCTCTCACCCCCTCTGGACATTTGCCCTACTGACCAAAGACTCTCTTGCTTGTCTTTTATTTCTCCCGTTATCCCTCCTGCCTCCTCTCTTGCTGCCTGCAAATATGCTCAGGTCTGTTCTTTTCTAAAAACAAACAGACAAACTTTCTTCTATTCTGCATCTCCTCAAATTATCATATTCTCTTTCTTGTTCCCTGATAACTTAAAGGAAGAGTAATTTATACTCTCAGCCTCCTCTTCTTCACTGCTCACTCCATGCCCACCAGCATCCCCCAAGCAGGGTCTCTTCTGTCCTCACCAGTGAGTTCCTCTCGACAAGGTCATGGGTCATTTCCCAATCACCTCCTCCAATGGTGTCTTCTTAGCAACACTCTTCCTTGACCAACCCCAGTCTATGGCATAAAAAAAAAAAGACAAATGTTTGAGGAATTGAATGTATCTTTTAATACTCTTTCCTCTTCTGGGTTCTATGATGGCACCACATCCTGGGTCTCTGAATTTGTTTACTTTTGCTGTTTTAGCATCCTATTTCCATCCCTCTAAGTGGAGGTGGTCCCACAAGCCTCAGTCCTCAAGTTTTTCTGCTTGCTATTATCTCCTGGAAGTACTGACTCCCAGTTTCTACTTATCACCTCCCTAGGGTTGACTCCCAAATCTACATCTCTGGTCCTGACTTCTGCCCTGGGCTTGTGATCTTACATTTCCAACTTCCCATGGGATATCTCCATCTAGACATCCCAAGAAACCTTAAATTCAGCATGAACTAAATTCATCCTCTTCACTCCAAAATTTGTCCTTTCTTCTAATTTCCTCATTTCTGGTAATAGTATTGTCGTTCCTGGCACCCAAGCTTGGAATCACTTCAGTCTTCCCCCTTTTCCCTCTCAATCCAAGCAGTTGCCAAGTTCCAGTGATTCTGCCTCCTAAACATTTCTTGTATCTCTCCCCTAAGCTTTCCCTTTCCACTGCTACCACCATATTTCAAGTTATCATCTCTTTCCTATATATCTGGGTAGTCTACTAACTGTTCTTCCTAGGTACAATCTCCCCCCCCCCCCCCCCCCTTCCCCAATCTTTCCTTCATATGGCTGCCAAAATTGCCTTTCTTTTTTCTTTTTTTTTTTCCAGTGAGGCGATTGGGGTTAAGTGACTTGCCCAGGGTCACGCAGCTAGTGTTAAGTGTCTGAGGCTGGATTTGAACTCAGGTCCTCCTGACTCCAAGGCAGAGCTCTACTCATTGTGCCACCTAGCTGCCCCCAAAATTACCTTTCTGAAGCATTGGTCTGACCGACCACTGGTAAAAAACCTCCAACAATTTCCCTTTGCCAACATGATAAAAGACAGATTCCTTAGTATGGCATTCAAGACCCTCTCCATTCAGGTTCCAACATACCTTTCCAGTCTTTGATCTCACCTAGCAGTTTTCCATTATGGTACATTTGCCCAGAGTATCTCCCTACACACCCTCCAAATGCTTAGCATGGAGGTGGCTCGAGCACAGCTTTGTGCATGCACACACACGCGCGCACGCACACACACACACACACACACGTGCACGCGCACACACACACACACACCCTATTTATGTCCTTCCATTCCTTCTAAGTCCAGCTCAGGTGACACCCATCCCATAACACCTTCTCTGATTCCCTTTTCCCTCAAATCTCCAGACCTCCCCTCCCACCCCCTAATAAATTCAAGCAGACTTTAGTTCTTGGCTCATTTTGCAGAGTCCAAAGAACATTTCACACCTGGCCCAGCTCTCCTCCTTCCCCACTTACAAGTTAATGAATCATTTTCCTTCAGGGCACCCATCCAAAGCCAACCTACAGCTTTCCAAAGGCACAAAGAATTCACACAGAAACTAATAATAGCCTACAGTCTCTCTTGATAGTAAGTAGAGTGTGTGCTTAGAGTGTTCTCAAGTCTAAGCTGGGCTGTTTTGCTACCTGTATATAATTTTTTGGTTCACTTAAATTCTTGGGGTCTTGATTTCCTCATCTGTCAAACTGAGGGAGTTAGACTATAGTCTCCAAGGTGCCTTCCATTTATAGTTTTCTGGGACACTTGTTCAGTAGTATTAGGCTCTTTGTGAGGTTTTGTGAGTTAGACTCTTTGAGGTTTTCTTGGCAAAGATATTGGAGTGATTTGCCGTTTCCTTCTCCAGCTCATTTTACAGATGAGGAAACTGAGGCAAATAGGGTTAAGAGACTTGCCCAAGGTCACAGATCTAATAAGTGTCTGAGGCTAGATTTGAACTCTGGCAGTTGAGTTTTCCTAACTCCAGGCCCTGAATTCTATGCACTGCACCACATGGTTGCCCCCAGGACACTTACCCATACACCAAAGTAGTGACCTGTGAAAGGAGGGAGAAACTTGTTGGGTCTTTCTAGAAACTTATCAGCACACTCTTAAGTTGCTATAGCAGAAGGAAGCCATCTGACTTACATTCCAACCCAGTCTGGTCTCTGGCCACAGGGCAGTTCTGATAGTATACAGCCCCCATTTTTGCTTCCAGTGCTTTCAAAGCAAGGCACTGCTGGATCTAAAGTGGATTGGTCTTTGGGGAGGGAACAATAAAGCCTTAACACAACTTCACGACAATTCAGCCTCTGTCCTAGGGAACTACTCTCCAAGGCACACCCAAGTGTCAAGAAACACAGGCCATTTGTCTATAATAACAATAGTAATACTCTGAAAGGTTTGTCATTTCACTGGTGTGGGTGTTCCCCCAGCTGACACAGATTGCCACGAGGTCTCACATTAACATCCAATAAATGTTTGTTGAATGAATGGATGACTGCAGATCTCATTGCTCAAAAGACCAAGGCCCTGGAGTTGAATCCACATTCAGATTTGTTAACTTCACACTGTTAGTTATTCAGTCAATAGGCAAGAAATAAACATTTATTAAACTCCTACTATATGCCAGGCACTGTGATAAGCACTTGGAGATGCAAATAAAAAGCAAAAACAGCCCCTCCCCTTAAGGAGCTCACATTCTAATGAAAAGGGGGTTGACATTTAGAGTCATGAGTCCTATCTCAGAGGTGTCCAGCCTGCTAGCCCAGGTGGGAATGCTGGTTAGAGCATCTTCAAATGCAGCCTCAGACCAAACACTTGACACTTACTAGCTGTGTGACCCTGGACAAGTCGCTTAACCCCAATTGCCTAAAAAATTAAAAAAAACATTTAGCAATAGGGGAAATGGCACGTCAAGGACACTGGACTTGGAGTCAGAACCATGCGGGTCTGCCATTTACAAGCTATGCAGCCAAAGCAAGTCATTTTATTTCCTGAGCCTCGATTTCCAAATCTGTGAAAGGGGGATAATAACATTTCTATTATTTACTCCTTGGGGAAGGACACAATCATTTATTTGTTAAGTGCCTGCTATGTGCCTGACACTGTTCTGAGTGCTTTACAAATACTATCTCATTTAATCCTCACAACAACCTTGCCACAGCAGGTGCTATTATTATCATCCCCCTTTTACAGCTGAGGAAATTGAGGCAGGCAGAGGGTAAGTGATTTGCCTAGGGTCACACAGCAGGTAGGTGTCCGAAGCCAGGTCAGCGTTCTACTCATCGTGCGCTTAGTTTCTCCGGTCTAGACTCGCCGTTCCATTGCTGTGGGGAGGTCCAGTGAAGCAGCTCAGTAACTCTTCCCCATTTTGTAGTATTGGAGGGTTAGCTGCCCAGGGCCAGCGAGAGGCCAGATGACCAATCCCAGCCTAGCGAGCAGCCAGTGACAGCCAACATGTGTCTGAGGAGGGCACGAACCTAGCTTTTCCCAGCTCTGATCCAGGCTGTTTACCACATCTCGCTGCCACTCTCGGGCTTGTTATGATGATAAAATAAGGGAAAGTCTTTTGTAACCAAATAAAGGGTCAGGTCAGCTACTAAATCTGCCTCTTTGTAACTCACCCGCATTGTACTTAGCTCTCCCGGGCCAAACAAAACAAACCTAATCTCTCTTCCCCGTGGCAGCCCTTCAAATATCTAAAGACTGCGATCACATCACTACCCACCCAAATCTTCTTCTCTGAGCTAAATACTCTCAATCCCCTTCAACCTTTCATTTGAAGACTGGGCCCCCACCTCCCTCCCTCTCCTGGTTACCTCCCTCTGGAGTCTCTCACAGTCCTTTGTCAAAGTCCCTTTTTAAAACGTGGAGCCCAGCACTGATCACAATACTCCGGATGTGGCGTGAGCCCCGCAGAGTACCAGGAGATTCTCATCCCCCTTGATTTGAATATCCTATGCATACAGCAGAGGATTACATTATTTTTAGCAGTGGGATCATACTGTTAACTCACGCTAACCTTGCCTTGAACTTTGGAGACCCTTGGAGGTTGGGTCCCCCCCTCCCCGACTCACCTCGGATCTGAGTGACTGAGGACTGTTCCTTGGCTACTTGACTAGTAAGCTGCCAGTTTGATTCCATTTTACAAACATTTCTTTAGCGCCTACAATGGGCATAGAGTACTTGAGTGGTGCTTGGCTGAGCATGGCAGCACAGACCGTCTGTACTCATACTGCTTCAGTGACAGCATCTTTGATGATGAGTCTACCTTCTAAAAAGCCTCCCAAAAAAGCAGCGGGTCAACAAGGAGGCTTCTTGCAAGGACAGCTTCAGGAACGTGTCTTTAGCACCTTATTTTTCATGCGACAAGGCTGTGGGAGGCCATGTAATAGAATGGAATACACGTGGGTTCTGCCACTTGCTACCTGTGTGGTCTTGGTCAAATCACTTAACCTCTCTAGTCCTCAGTTTCTGTATGTGTACAATGATGATAATGGGACTTCTGTTGTTCGGTCATTTTCAGCCATGTCTGACTCTTTGTAACTCCATTTGGGATTTTCTTGGCAGAGCTACTGGAATGGTTTGCCATTTCCTTCTCCAGGCCATTTTTTTTAATTTAAATTTTTTTTTTTTTGTATATTGGGGTTAAGTGATTTGCCCAGGGTCACATGGCTAGTAAGTGTTAAGTTTTTTGTCCAGCCCATTTTACAAATGAGGAAACTGAGGCAGACAGGGTTAAGTGACTTGCCTAGAGTCACACAGCCAGGAAGTGTCTGAGGCCAGATTTGAACTCTGGAAGATTCGGTCTTCCTGACTCCAGGCTTGGGGCTCTAGGCACTATGGCACCACCTCGCAGCTCTGACACGAGGTTATGAGATAACCCCTAAGGTCCCTTCAAGCTCTGTCTTCTACACTTCTGTGGATCCTGGCTTCTTAGGAGTTTCATGGGGGTAGAATCTCTAGTGGGATCCCCTTGCCCTTGTCTTTGTGTGAAATCATTGCCATTTTCTAGTAAGGTCACAGCATCATATACCTAGAGCTAGTAGGGGTCCTCAGACACCATCTGATCCATCCCCTCACTTTATATGAGGAAATAGGAACAGAGAAATTAAGTGACTTGACTAAAGTCACATATCGGAGGTCACGTTTGAACCCAGATCTTCTGACTCTGGAGCCAATGTTCTTCCCAATTAGGAGCAGCTAGGTGGTGCTACAGTGGATAGAGTGCTGAGCCTGAAGTCAGGTAAACCTGAGTTCAAATCTGATCTCAGATACTTACTAGCTGTGTGACCCTGGTCATGTCACCTAATCTGTTTGCCTGTTTCTCCATTTGTAAATCCGGGGCAATAACAGCATCCACCTTGCAGGGTCATTGTGAGAATCAAATGAGATAACAATTGTAAAGTGCTTAGCATAGTGCCTGGCTCATAGTAAGAGCTATACAAATGTTAGCTATTGTTATTAGTAAGAGCTCATGACAGCATAAGGTTTAGCTTTTCTCCAGGGTAGAAACTGAGTAAAGGTCCCAAACTCCTGCCTCTTGTTCACACAGTTTTGAGGTTGGATTTTGTTCCCGTTGGCTTCCCGAGGCTTATAGCCTCCCTCCCCACCCCTCCCACAAATTCTCCAGCTACTTCTGCACCACCCCCAGCCTCTACTCTTGCTTCAGGCATTCTGCTGCTGTCAATCCCAGAGCAGAGCTATTCTGAGAGGCCTTAGACAGGTCCTGAAACACTCCACAGATGGGCAGTGTGGCTGTCTCTGAGTGGAGGGGTCTGGCTTTTGGCTATGTTTGTGGTTGGTGCCTGAGGAAGGCCAGTCTTTGGCCCCGCCTCCCTTCTCGTTGGAGCATTGCTACGTGGGGCCCAGATCTAGGCACCTAGGACCTCACCTAATCTTCGTGTTCCTTGACCACTAATTCCCTATGTGAGAGGTAGGGGGACCCAGATCGGATTCCTGTCTTTAATACTGACAGCAGTGCTATGTTGGGCACTTCCACCCCTCTGAGCTGCAACTTCCTCATCTACAAAATGGGAACAGTAACATCTATATCACTGTCTTGCCAGGGTTGTTTAGAAGGAAAATGCTCTGTAAACCTTAAAAGCTTTATGGAAATGGGATTGTCATTGGCCAAGGGACTTAAAACAATAAAAAAAAATTTATGATGAAGTTGCCAAACATCAACAAATATTCAAGTTAACTTAGACAAAGAATAGAAAAAGAGGATTGTATATGAAATCACAAATCTCTGTTACATG